CTATCTATCTATCGATCTATCAGCAAGGCATGTGAGCCCCAAAGATACCATGACACCAGTCCTGCACTGTGATGGTTCGGGTATTATAGAACCCGATGTAGGACCCCCAAAATGAGCAAACCACCAATCCCAGGCAACACCCCCCCCAGGCCAACCCCCCTTTTCTGCGAGTTTGACAACTGACCTCTGAATTGTGGCCGTGTGAGCCCTGGCGAAAATGCCCCCTCCCGTCCCCGAGGTATCCCTCGCACCCACCCACCCTTAAAACCAACAGGAGGGAGGGACTTGCCCCCTTTGCTTAGACTTCAGCGGCCGCCGCCTGGCTGCAGCAGACCCCCGGGCGCCAGCCCCCGAGCCGGCGTGGGGTGCTCCCGGCTCCCACGCGGAGCGGTGCCCTGTGTCTCGCTCGCCTGGGACATCTGACAATTCCCAGCCCTGCCCAAAGCTCCCACGCCCCCCCTCCAAGCCAGCAGTGAGTCAGAAACAAAGAAGAAACCCCTTTGTGGGCTGTGATTCGCCCTTTATTCTGAACTCGGGGACGTCACACTCGCCTGGCTATAGATGGAGCTGTGGGGTCCGAATCAGCCCTTTAGTGCAAACCCATGTGCCTGGCCAGGGAGGTGTGTGTGTGCTGCTCTGGAGTGTAACTGGAGAGCTTCTGTGCGCTACAAAGGGCGAGGAGAGAGAGAGAGAGAGAGAGGAGGGAGGAGGTACCCTGTGCATCTCCCATATCCCCTCCCCCCCCCCCCCACCCCCAAAAACCACACACACCCAACCCAGCCTCATTGCTGTCAGGAGCTGCTCTCTGATCCCCCCCACCCCAAACCCCTCCCCCTCTCCCCTCCAGCCTGATCACACTAAGGAATGATGAAAAAAAATAATTCTGCAAAAAGGGTGAGTTGAAACGGCTTCTTCTTCGGGGTGAGGGGTTGTGGGGTATTGGGGAGGGGGTGTTTCTTTATTGTTCGGTTGAGACTTCCTCCCACCCCTCTTTGCAAAAAGAAAAAAGGAAACTAAACAACAACAACAAAAACCCCGACCCACCCCTTCTTTCTTTCTCTCTCTCCAGTTTCTCAGTCTCTTCCTCGACTTGAATTTGCCAGGAAATCCAGTCCTGTTGGGTAGTGTAAAAAAGGATGTAGGATCATGCGGTTTTCATTTTGATTGCAAGGAAGGCATGAAACACACATAACAGACATTGTGTATCTCCCTGTGTCCCCTATATGGAGAGTCTCTGTGTAGTGTACCTATGGATTTATCTGAGTGCCTTTCCAGAGATGGCAAATAAAAACCTACACTTGCATTTCGCCCCCAGGAATAAATTCTTAATCAAAGGCTCAAATATGCAATTTGCACTGCAGTAAAAAATCAATTAGTTGGAATTCCTCCCTCCGCGAGAGCAAATGCATGTTGGTTGAGATGGATGCAACATCACAGCCGTTCTTGTCTCATGCACAGAATGAGATAGAGCTTGTGATTTTCGCTCCATGCCTTGGGTATTATTATTAATTTTGCTTCGTGTCTGCAGTGGGGGAATCTCTGCAGAGTGAAACTGGCAAAGTACCTAAGTCTCAGCATTGGTGGAGAGTGGGCAAGGTGGGGGCGAGGGGGGGACAAACTTGGAGAAAAAGGCAGGGTGAAGGATAGGGGAATAAACCCTCTAATAATCCCTTTTCTCTCTCTTCCTTCCCCTCCCTTTGTGTCAGGGGCCACAGGATGGAAACCAGCAATCCATGCAGCCAGAGAAGGTCGGCTGGGTTCGGAAATTTTGCGGGAAAGGCATTTTTAGGGAAATCTGGAAAAACCGTTATGTGGTTTTGAAGGGAGATCAGCTTTATATCTCAGAGAAAGAGGTAGGATTTGTTTAATTTGCCTCTCCTTCCCCACCCCCCATTCTCCCTTTGCCTTTCAAAAGCAAATTGAGCAGCCAAAGTGTTTATCCAACACCCCTTCGAAACCCGGGAGTCTCCATCCATGGTGTTTATTAACCATCTTGTAATTTGCTAGCTGGAAAGTTTCTATGGGGAATTCTCTTTTCACTGTCTGGCTCTGCATTGTCAGTTCAAACGAGACCTGGGCTGGGTTTGTGTGTCGATTCTAACAACAACAAACCCCACAACGGTGCCCCGGAGTCTCCCACCGAGGACTGGCGGGGAGACATTTTTCCAGCGCCGATACATGAAACGATTTGCTTGGCAAATGCTAAACTGTTCATCTCTCCTTTCCCCATAGTCACGTATTTCCTGATGTCTGCCCTCCGTTATCGAGTTCCACAATGGCCTGGTTTGCAGCCTCACGCCCTGATCGTTTTCCAAATGGAAAAAACAGCGGGGCTAGGATGCCAGACCGACCGATTTACAAGTTGGGGTTTTAGGTTCCAAGCCCAGTCCCTTATCGCTCAGTTGTTTTTCCAAAGCAAGGGGCACAAGGAAAGTTTAACCACTGCTTTGACATCCTGTTAGCGCAGAGGGTGGACAAAGCGCCCCTATCTCAGTTGCAACAGTCTGAGGGTTTGGGGTTTAATGTATTGGATTGAATTGGATGTGGCTTTCTGAGCACAGGCAGTCTGTGACTGTCCTGGTCTAGCAGGGGGTGGCTCGTCCCTTCCCTGTTTCACAGATGTTGGGATCGGTAAATCCACCCAACTGGGGTTTTTGTTTGTTTGTTTTAAAGCAGATGGATCTTTCACAACAAAATCTTGGTGCACCGTGTACAAGAAGCGAGGAGGGTGTCGGTGTCCAGACTGGGGTTACAGGTGTGAACGAGGATGGAGAGATAGGCCAGGATGTACATAAACAACCAAATCCCTCGGCTAGGGGATCTGGAACCATTTGTACAGTGGGGGTGCTGAGAGCCATTGAACAAAACTGTAAACCCTGTATAGGATGAAATCCACTTCAAGCCAGGGGTGCAAAAGCATCTCCTGCACTCCTAGTTCCAGTCCCTATGCCCTCGGCCCCATCCCGCAGCACGGCTCACACCAGCAGCCCTTACTCATGCGGGTACGGCCAAGGGAAGGTCCCACTGCCTGCATGTCGGGTAACATCACCCAGGTGATCGAATAAAGAGCAAGAGAAACAACGGGGCCCAGAGGGAGAAGGATCCTTTGGCAAAGAGGTTAATGACATCATTGAGCATGGCAGAGCATGTATGGATCCGAGTTTATTGCAATGGAGAGATGATTGGAGAACAAACTGGGGGGAGCCTGGTCTGGGCTTCCCATCTATCAGCTTTTCACAACTCACTCCAAATGTGCTCTGAGTGGCCACAGAAACAGGGCATGGCTGGGGCTTATTCCTTGGAAACTAAATTATGCCTGGAAACTAGGGGATCAGCACATTAGAAATGCATAGACATTGAGAAAATAAACAGAGAGGTAGATTAGCTACTGTAGCAAGATACTGGAGATGGAAAGACTGATACTGATCATATGCTGTACAGACAGACAGATAGATATGCAGATATGGAGACGTAGATAGATCATTGCATTAAATGGTTGGGAGAATGTTTCCTTATTCACTGCCCAGTATCCTACCACTGCATGTTAACTGCTCTTCTGCACGGGGGCCCTGGTTCAGGAAAGCACGTAACCACACGCTTAACTTTTATCAACTTCTTCAACTCCAGTTGACTTGGATGGAATTTCAGCACATGCTTCCATGTTTTCCTGAATCAGGGCCTAGACGAGAAATTCACTTTGTTGCCCATAGGCCAAGGGGCGCTGTTTGCTCCACCCGAATACTGTGAGCCATCCCATCGGTGCAGGTAGGCAGGGACTGGGAATAGCTTGTATTATTGGCAGACAATAATAATGGTAAATTTACAGCGAGCTGCAGGGATTATGCGGAAACACCCAGGCAGATGTTTAATGGCGCTGGCAGGACGCTTTATGATTCTCCGAGCAGCTGCGGTAACATCACCGGGCCTGCCCACGAAGATCCTCATTTGTAGCCGTCTGTGGTGGAGCTGAGTTTGTGCATTTCCAGGCAAGAGGGCAGAAAGCCATGATTCAGGGGCGAGGACGGGGAGCTGGGGAGGGCTTGCCCATTGGGTTGTGCGGGATCAGAAATGTCTGGTGAAATCCTGGCTCTTTCGAAACTAACGGCAAGCCCCGCGTGGCCTTCCCTGGGTGCACACCCTAGCATGCTAGCCCTGGTGTGGGAGGAAGAAGCCTCCCCAGGGGTGACCTGAATGTAACCCATATTGCATAACCTTCCTGAGTCTGCAGTGGGAGACTGAAATAGCCAGGAGCTGAGAGGCCCCAGTGCACAGCCTTGTTCTTGTGAGCTTTGTGGCAGCTGTCCTGTCTGTGAGCCCGCTATGTGGGAGAGGGATCCCCCGTCCCCACGCCCATTGATTGCAATGGGCTCTGGGTTTTACCCTGTGTCTAGATCTTCCAGGGCAGGCAGCGTTCCCCGCTTCCAACTTCCCCCATCCCGTGCATGCCCCTGAGCACTGGGGGCAAATAGACGGACCTTCTGGTTAGCGACCTAGTGCCGGATTGGTCAAGGATTAATGTAAAGGCCCTGCCCGGCCTCTGGCATCGACATCTGAGTAGCCCGGGCCCAGGAATAGTAGCACTGGATGGGGCTGGGTTTAGAATGACTGACACTCGGAGCTACTTTCCTCTTCTTTGAGGAGCTAAGGGGCAGGCTCTAAGAAGGGGATGAGGAGCTGCTGGCGGGCGGCTCCCGTCCGTGTCTTTGTGTGGTAGACAGGCGCAAGACTCTGCCACGGGGGGCCATGCAAAGTCCCTGAGCATAGCGGAGTAACTTGCACGTCTGTCTGAGAACTCACATGTTTGTGTCAATGTCTCAGTGAATAGCATGTGTGACCGTGTCAGCGAACATGTATGTAAGGAGAAGTAAAACATCTATTCATCACCCATCACCATAGTATTGGTGTGTCCTGAGCAGGTGTTTAAATGAGCAATATGTCTGCATGTGAACAGTCATGTGAGTGCCAGTTTCTAAATGAGTAATGTGTATCCGTGTCGGTGACCAGGCATGTATCCAATGGTAGGGAACAACAAGGCGTGTGTCACAAGAAGCAATGTGTGTGAACGAACATGTGCATGGAAGACTGTGTGCGTTTGGGTATGAATAATGCACGTTAGAGAACACGTATGTGTCTACCTGGAAGAATAACGTGTTTGTGGATATATGTGTCTTAAAGGGATAACATCTGCTGTGTATGTCAGCATCAAAATGAATAATTTGTCTCTGTGAATGTGTGTGTGTGTTTGCATGAATGAAGAATGGGCACATGTGCAGATGGGATGTCTCTGTGAGTCTCAACATATGAATGAACATGTGTGGGGTGGAGCAGTTCTCCCTCATGTGACATTCTGCGGACAAACAAGCAACATCTGTGTGTTCTGCCTGTGTGCATGTGGTGCATTTGTGGGTGGTGCGTTGCATGTGCGTAAAATGGTTTCTCTCTGCACTTCTAGGTATAACACTCTTTTTAAACCAGATCTTGTGCCGTTTAGGATCTGACCCCGCTGTTTGCTCTCTTTTGGCCGCGGTTGGCCTTTGGATCTCTGGACATTCATGAGCACAAATGCGAACTCACAAGAATGGATGGGAGGACGTTGATAGCTAGCATTTCCTCCCGCTCCAAGCAGCAGGCCCGTAGCCAGTTCCCCATTCATCTCCTCCCTGGCCATCCTGTGCACGCTCGCTTTCTGCAGCACCTACAAATAGGTTAATAAATCTGCGTTGGTCGAGCAGAACAGAACGCAGCCTCTTCTGTTTTTTTCACACACCAGATTACGCCCAATGGAGGAAATGGAGCCACTGCTGTGTTTTCCTGTTGAGTTGAGATAGCTTTCCACTGACAACACTCCCGGTGAGGGGAAGGGGGACGATGCAGCTGAGGAGGGATTGGAAGAGCAGGTCCCACAAGGAGATGTGAACAGGGATAGTTTGTGGAGGTTGCCTGGACATTGGGGTAAAATCTCAGTCTCACATCCCTGGGTAGTAGAGAGAGCGCATATGCTGATGGGAGACTAGACTCCAGGGTCTGTTACAGTAACAACTCCTCAGCCGGTGTAAATTGGCATCGCTCCATCAAAGGCAGCTATGTGGATTTGCACCAGCCGAGGACCTGGGCCTCTTGCTCTTAAATCTCATATTAACTAGGACATTAACCTTGATGTTGCCTGTCAATTTCTGTAAAATGGGGAGAATGACACTCACCTCCTTTGTAAAGGGCTGTGACATCTCCTGAGGAAAAGTGCTGGGTAAGGACAAGGGATTATTATTTAGGGGCCCACATCGGAGCTGGGCTCTTCTGAAATCCGGCCCCCATTGTGGGTTGAAACCCCTGGTCCTAGTGTATTGAGTTCTGTCAATAAGAAATGTGAACAGCCTTAATGTACGTTTGATCCCCACTCTTGTTTGGAATCTGTGCAAGACTTCTCCGGCCTGCTCTGCCTCTAGTGCCCCCGTTAATAAAGCCACGCGCCTTTTGCTGGTTCATCGGCGCACCAAACGCTAGCAGGGGCCGAAGGCTTTGTGTATCCGACTGCCTCGACCTAACACACAAATCTTTAGCCATTGCTGCAAATTGGTCCCATAAACTATGCAAAACCTTTGTTATTTTGCATTTGATCAGTGGCCAGAAAGTTCCCAATAACAAAACACAGGCTGGTTGGAGTTGATTTCTGGTAAGCAGCAAGGCATTTTGCATTCCTTTCCCCTATCCCCCTCCCCAAACCCACATTTCTGGTCATTGTTCTCTTCTTTCTAGCACTGCTTTGTTATTGATTTACACTCGGGAATAACAGTCAGACTAACACAGCACACAGCTGGGCTCCTACCACTTCCTGCCAGGAAGCCCACGGCCGTCA